AGGCTGTCACCCCACAGGGCTGCCCTTTGCAGGTTGAGGGGTGTGATTCTGACAAGCTGCTCAGGATCTCTGACATGGGAAACGAGATCTACGTGGTCACGTTCCAGGAAGAATTCCTTCTCAAAGGTCATGCTCCACAGTGCAGTTTAATGGAGTCATTTTGTATTCTCTAAAGGATACAGACTTCCGAGTTTGGGGTCTGACTAAACTTAACACATATTGCTAATGTCTTAAATGCAAACTGCTCTCCTGAAGGGCAGCAGTCCCCACCCGGGGAGATATCCCCCAGGCACATTTGGCAACGTCTGGAGCCCCCTTCAGTGGGCATAAGTGGGCAGGAAGTGCTGCTGACAGGTAGTGGGTTGGGGTCAGGGACACTGCCTAGGACGGCCCCACACCAGGTGACCAGGCCCCAGTTCCCTTGCTGAGCAAAAGAAGCGGCCCCAGAGGCATTTGCTTCTCAGCAGGTGCTCCCGAGGCTCAGGCCTGCCAGTGTCGGGGCGCAGCAGCCCCCTACGGCATAGGCCGCAAGTCCCTCCCCTAACCACAACTCGTGAAGCTGACGGTCGGATTGGGAGGCCGCCTTGCCGTGCCACTGTTTGGGCGGGCATTGGGAAATGGAGGGAGCCCGCCCTCCAGTGGGGCTGGGCAGCTGAGGACACACGTGAACCCTGCTCACAGTGGCCAGTGGTCAGAGGACAGAAGGAGAAACTGTTAGTGGGTTTCCTAATGTGTTATTGCTTCATTATTGTAATGAATCACCACTAATTAACTTTGTGTCTCAGAAATCTCAAAAGTAGCTTTTGATTTGGGGGAAATACAAAAGTCAGATTGTAGCTCAAAAGGCAGGACCTTGGAACATGGCATGTTAACATGTGTTTTATTTCACGCTGCCTTTGGGACCTTGTAGGCCTGTGCCTAAGGTAGCAGACGTGACCGCATCGCCTTTTCCTGGCCACGCAGCTGACCTGGTGGTGGGAATGCGGTCAGAGCTGCACCAGCTGTGCTGAATGTTCCTCAGAGCCCAGAACACGGTGGGAGGTAAATAAACAGCCCACACAGTGCTGCCAGCACAGAACAGCGCTTATTCCCCAGGCTGGTGCTAAAATCCTTTCTCCCTCCAGGGTTGGGGTGGCCCTGCCCAATTAAAGGGTTCACTTTGCGCACCCCCGCCTCCCGCCAGCAGTGGGGGCTGCGTGTCCTCAAGGGGGCAGTGAAGGGTGCTGGGAAGAGGGGACAGAAGGCACACATTCAAGCCCTGCTCTGTCTGCAGTGGCATTTGCTGAAGACTGTTTACTTATACAGATACTATGTAATAGCTGCTCATTGTAAAACACTAAATCAACAAGGAGTATATGGTAGTAAACCCTGGAGGTCACTCTTTTCCTCATTCCTTTTAATAGTTTGCATGTGTTTTGTCTTTTAAAAAAATGCAAGTGATTTATATTATAAAAAGATTCCAAGAGGGCACCAGTATCGAGAGGAGTAGATGTGACAGTGCCCCCACATGCACACCTTACCTCCCTGACCAAGGAGGACATCCCTTAGCAGTTTGATGTTTATTCTTAAACACCATTTATGTGACTTGTTCATTCAACATGCACTTACTGAGTTGTTGTGTGCAAAGCCATGCTGGGTGCCTTACACGCACAATTTTTCCATTTCTTCCCACAAAATGGGGTCATGTTATATTTGATATTCTAAAACTTTGATGTGTAAAGTCATAAACCTCTGACATCTGTCCATGTCAGTGTGAGTAAGTCACCTGTCTGTTTAGGGCCATGGGTGTCCCATAATACAGATGTATGGGCCCCACTGTGCCCACAATTCCTTTACTTTGGATATGTTAGGATCCAGGATAGGTGTCACACAGGCCATCTGTGCCTGCTGTACCCTCACCAAGACGGGCAGCCAAGGCCCTTCTGTCACACACCTCCACTGTCCTCTGCTCTTGTCCTCTGCGTGGGCAAAGGTGGCTCCCCACATTCCCGTTCCCACAGGGAAAGGACTAGAGGGGAGGGTGAGTGTGGTGGCACTTGTAATTTGGACACATTGCTTCTGATCCTGCCCCACTGGCCAGAATTTGGCTCTAAGATCAGACCTAGCTGCAAAGGAAGCCATGAAATGTGCAGAGCCACTTCCTTTGGTGATGGATAAGGATAAAGCAGGTGTAAGATTAGCAGTCTCCACGGTGGCATGGAGACAGCTCCCAGGCTTTTACCAGAGATATCGTACATCCTGGTACATGTGTTTCTGTGTACAAATGCAAGTCTTTGTATACAACAGACACTAGAAGTCAAAGGGGGATGTGCATTTAAAAACTGAAGTCCTGTGAAACTGCTCTCCGAGGAGCTCCCTGAATTGGCATTCCCACCGGCGGGGAACCTGTGACCTGTTGAACACATCCTGGTCACCATGGGGTGTCATGCGCCTTTAGTATTTCTTACCAGTTTGCCAGATGAGACAGACAGACAGAAGATTCTCCTTGTGATCGGTGGCTCCGTGGTCGAGTGTGAGACTCCACTGCTGTTGATCACCTGTGTTTCTTGTGTGAGTCGCCGCTCTGTGCCTCCTGCCTGTCTGCATATTGTCCCCGGTTCTGCCTGTCACTGCTCTGCAGCAGGCGCCTAGACACACTCTGTCACATCTGTTGTGTCTACTTTGTTCTTACATTGCTTGTCATTAATATGTGTTTTTATCAGAATTATATAATTTTATGTTAGATTTTTCTTTATCTTCTAGGTTTTGTGACTTAAGAAGGCTTTTTTACATCAAAAAATATTTTATTCTGCTCTTATATTTGACTTTTTTATCTCGTGATTTTTTGTGTATAAAATCTCCGATAGCAATACTGAATGGCTAGATTTTACAGTATAACTTACTGAATTGTTCTTCTCCTTACAGTTATTATGTGGATCTATTTCTGGATTTTCTCTTCTGTTGATTTGTCTCATGCTCCCTAATACCGTCCTATAATTACCACAGACGTATATTTAATAGCTGGTAGTGCGAGTTCCTACTCATTATTCTTTATTTAAAAGATGTTTTTTGTGCTATTCTTACACATTTCTGTTTCACACTAACTTTAGAATCAGCTTGTCAGATTCCTTGCTGGTATTTTTACTGGGCTTACACTGACTTTATAGATTCATTGGGGAAGAATCTTGAAATCCATCAGTGAGGAGTGCATCACAGAGAGCGCGTCCAGGCGCGCCTACGCAGCACGGTGGTGAGGACGGCGCAGCGAGCTGACATGGTGGAGTGAAGGTGAAGAGGTGCCCCTTGGGAGCTAGGTGTCTACCCCTGCACATGCACACCTGGGATCTGGACGTCTGCACCTGTGCACACACTTGTGTGATCTAGACATCTACACCCCCCCCCGACCCCCCCCCACACCCCACCTCACCCCCCTATATGACTGTGGATAAAGTGAAGGTTACTGCAGCCAGGATTCTCATCTGGACCTGGTTGTCTAGCTCACTACACACATTTGGGCAATGCGTTAATATTGACTCTATATAAAGAGCCCTGTCCTGTGCTCTGGGCGACAGGGTGTCACAGCTGCAAGGCTGCAGGAGAGCAGAGCAGAGTCTGGAGTGGTGGCAGCACTGAGGACAGAGACTGGGATGGCTGTGCAGAGAGGCCCAGAGGCAGAGACCACCGTGCTGTGTGCAGACTCGCTCTGCGTAGATGGGTTTCTAGTGATTGACTTGCCACCATGGTAATAAAGTTGGGTATAACCCTTTCACCCCAGGAACATTTTACTGTCATTTCTTTGGTCACACTGAATCCATAGTGAACTTCCCTGGGGCTGAAACCCATTGGCAAGACAGACATCTAGACGTCTACACCTGTGCGCGTGCACACACACACACCTGTGGGACCTAGACGTGTACACCCCGTGCATGCGCACCTGTGCCTTGACCTGTCTGGAGCGTTGCTGTGCGTATGGAGAAGGCTCTGTGCCCCTTGCTAGCTCTGCTCGTCTCTTGTCCTCCTCCCCTGCTGTGTGTATAGGGTCCTCTCGGCAGTACCAGGGGCAGCTTTCATGGCTCAGCTGCTGAGAAGCACTGTCGCCTTCGCTGTAAGTGTACAGAACTGATTTCCGCCAGTTTTATCGGTGTCAGTGCCCAGGGAAAGGTGGTGAATAAGTGATGGTGTTCTGTGCAGAACAATTGCTAAAAACGTTACTTTTCGATGGGGATTTTAATTGTTTCTCTGGTGAATTGAGGAACATTCTTCTTTGTGTTTTCTAGTATTTACTGGAGTGTTTTCGAGTGCTGAACAGTACAGTGTGTCCGGAAAAATATCTCACTTAGCGAATTTGTGTTAATAATTTATTCTTCTGTGATTTGAAAAAATTACAGGGCCAAATCCACTTGTACTCCTTCAGTGTGATTTTTAAAATCATCTAGAGGATAAAGTGGTTATGGGTGTCTCTGAAGCGAAAGGGACAACAGGCAAAACATGCACATCTGAGGACCTGATCAAGTCTTCGGAGCTCATCTCCTTTATAAGCGAGGTGTGTGTTACGTTTTGTGAGCACAGAGACACCCGGGTGAATCGGCCAGCAGGGGAATGGCTGGAATAGCACGCGCAGCCTGTCAGCCTATGAGAGGAAGTTGTGGTTTGCTTGCAAGGGGCCGGACAGGAAGGATGAATGGTGGAGGCCCCGTGGGTAGGATTTGGGGGAATCCCACAGCCACTGTGGGAATGAGCCCCTGTTCCCAGGAGACAGCAGCCACTGAACCAGGTGGCGCCTGCCAGTGGGCTCCGGGCTGGGGATTGACCTGTGACAGCCACCCAGTGCCCACTGCTGGGTAACACCGCAGCAGAGGGTGCAGAAGCTTAGTGTGCTGCCATTCACACTGAGCAGAGCTGACAGCTCCAGAGCTCCCTGAAGCCAGGCCTGGTGCGTCGTGCCTTTTTTGCCATGCGTGTGCTGGTTGTCAGCCAGAGCTCTCCGGGTGTCTCACAGTACACTGTCCTTTCTTTTCCAGAACTACACGCAGTACATCCCCCTGTCTATCTATGACCTGCAGACCTGGATGGGCAGCCCGTCCATATTTGTCTACGACTGCTCCAACGCTGGCCTTATCGTCAAGTCCTTCAAGCAGTTTGCCCTCCAGAGGGAGCAGGAGCTGGAGGTGAGGCCCGCACTGACCCTGGTTGGTGCTGAGCTTCTCTTTCCTGGGGAGAGGGGTGGGGGGGGGGCGGGAGGAGGCGGGGAGGGTGTTGGACTCTGGGGGGCTTCCTTTCATTCTTTGGTGGGGAATTGCTCAGAGTGCTCTGGGCAAGGTGTATGTGATGACAAAGGACTTGGGGGTACGTGATGCAAGCTTTATGGGCTTAATTTTATATCTCATTTTACTCGTGTCATTTTTAATCTCAACAATAATGAAGTGATAATATTAATAGGGTTGATTTGTGTCCCAGTGGTCTCTACCTATGAGATAAAGGTTAAAATAACACAAACACATTGATTTTAGGAGAAATGGGCCCATGTCTGGGCACAGTCTTCAGTCCCACTACTATCTTTATTGTTGCCCCATTTTTTTCCTTTTGGGTGAAAAAAGCCCACCCAGCTGAATACAGACAGCAATGCAAAACAGCCGCCCTCGGTAGCTTCCTTTCATAGAATGCAGAGCCAGTGCAGCTCTGGGCATGCAGAGGCATTTTACTTGGTTGTTTTAGTTAATATTTGATGTTTGAATTAAATAGTGAATTGTAAACAGGGGTTGAAGAGGCCTCCATCCTGTGGCTTGCACAGGAGTAAGACATTCTGCAGCCTCGAGGGGGTCATGAATCCCATTTGGTTGCAGAGTAGAAAATTCTCCATTCAGGAACAAACTGGTCCTGAGTACACTTTTCCTCAAGCCTTTTTGATCTATCCAATTTTAATGTATTGTTATATTTTTTTCACATTTCATCAGAGGATACTGCTGAAATAATCAGCAATAAAATGGGAAGTTCTACTTGGTAGAATTTAAAATTAACATGTATACAATTTAATATTTTATATTTTGTAAATTAAGTCCTTATGCAGAGCATTGCACACGAGTGACTAATAAATAAAATGCCCTTTATCTTGGAAAATGGAACCAAGTGCCACAATCTTTTGATTATTATTATTGTTATTGCATTCTATAAGAGGAAGGAAAGATCAAGTCTTGTGCCATCAGATTTCCACTTTGCCTTTAGGATTTCATCTAAGTCCACTCAAGGGACAGCCATCTAACCGAGCACGACAAAATTCAGAGCACCAGAGGTGACTTATTCTTCCTCACATCAAGTAATAAATGCTGCAAACCACGGTTTTGTTTTTTTTACATTTAAAATATGTAAATAAAAATGCCAAAGAATCGTAGCTGGTTTTTATCCCCAATTTATGAGCCTTAGTGTGGTTAAGGAAACACCAGTGCATCAGCCTCAGTTAATTAAAACATGTTAAATGTAGCCCCTCGCCCCCTGCTGTCCGCAGAAGGCAGGCATTTCTCTCTTGTGTGTGACACTAAACGTTTGCTTTCAAAAACTTTGAGTATCTGCTCCGTCAGTACTGTGTGTGTTCTCTGTATGTTTCCAGGGATTAATCAGCCTAAGAAACTGTTCATTTCATTGAGTACAACAAAAAAGATATCCATGCATCTCTTTTGGGGGAAAAAAAAAGTTTAATTGGCTAATTTTTCATGGAGGAGAGCAAATGAAAAATGTTATCTGGGGTGGCGAATAGATGGCACTGCAGTAATACCATCTGCTTTATAATTAGCTCTGACTTTTATCTTCACTCTTTTTTGTTTAATTACAGTGTAGATAAGTCTCGTGTTTTTCCATCACACTTACTATTGTTGGCTGTTGTTCGGTTGGTCTCTTGCATAAACAGCGGAAATTAAAATGATAAAATTGGCTCCCGGCTAATATCTTAATGTTCCCTTTTGTCATCTTATTATCTGCTGTAGAAACAAGTCCTATGTGGCCTTAGTTTTATTCTTTTAAAAAATTCTTACCGTCTCTAGTACATTTGGCCGGATTCTTTGTAAGTTCACATTCTATCACTTTTATTACATAGGTGATAACATGTGAGCTGAAAGAAGTTGACAGGTAAAATGGTTTGTGCCAGGGTTTAAAAAATACAGAGGGTAAAAACAAATGTGATGCAAGAAAATGTCTCCTTGGACCAGAAAGCCTCCATGTGATCAACAGTAATGCAAACATGAATGACATAGATTTTAAGGGGTGACCATCAGCCTGCCTGCTCCTGGTGGCCGGTGCTGTGCTGGGACCAGGAGCCCGCTCACTGCGACTGCAGCCCAGAGGGGTCCTGCCGGCGGGGAGACGCCCTCACTGGGGTGCTGCGGAAAGGGCTGGGAAAGTGCATTTCTGTCCTCAGTGACCTTCCTTACACTTTTCACTGTGTCCTACTGCTTTTTAATTTGAAAATTAAGGAAAGTTTTCAGATCTCTCTGCTTTCTGTGCTCTTTTTAAAATAAGTGTTTTTATTTTTACCAAATTAGTATATCCATGATTCTAAAAATCAAATATTGCGGAGGCCTGGGAGGAGAAGAGGGGCAGCGGGAGGCATAAGGCCAGGCTGGGGGAGGCACACCGCAGAGCTTGGCCCCCGTGCTACGGCTGGGGTACCTGACAAGTCTTACCTTATAGGTGCTCCTGCCTTTATTTGGGTGGCATTTCCTAGTTTGCAGAGTGTTTTTACATTTACTCCTATCCCAGCCCGTGCAGTAAAACGGCCTGCAGCCAGCCTCCAGGCCCTCAGCCACCCTCTGCACCATGGCCCCCCCCTTCTGCGGTTCATGTGCAAAGACTGAGCCGTTTTCTTTTGGCACCTTTTGCTATACCTAGTCCTGTAAATTGGAGGCTTTGGGAGAAAGGAAAGTGATTCCTCTGTATAAAAAATTGAGGAGCTCTCACCCCTGACGGCACAGAGTGAAATCCACAGACACGCAGTCCGTCACTAGCACACTCAGCTTTCAGGGTATAAAGTCCTGCCTCCCTGAGGTAGCCTCCCGCGGAGGAGCTCCGCACGGTCTCGTGCCTGCCTCACAGCGCCTCCCTCACTGGGGTTGTGGTTCTCTTTTAAATCTGTTACAGGCGCCGTGTATGATGCAGATGTTCAGGAAGTATTTACAGATTTTGTCTGATAAGTAAATAAACATCTGAATAAACTACCTTTAGTTGTCTTCTTTAGGTGTGTCTGTGGTTCATTGAATATGTTTGACCTTTGATTTGTGTGAAATATAAAAATAAACAACAAAATTATTATAAATCCAGGAGCCATTTACAGCCATAACTAAGATTAATTCTTTTTTCCAGTCTCATCTTTTCATAATTTCATTGTAAGTCTGCGGAAAGTAAATTCTGGGGCAAAATACCTTTAAAAACCGAAATCAGTCAAAGGGAGAAATAAAGTTTAAAATCTGTTTATTGCTCACAAACTGTGGTCCCGGACCATCTCTCTCTCCTGCTCCAGCAGAAGCAAAACCGGCCCCCGCCTCCCCTCTCAGGTACAGATAAGCCCTCCGTTGCCCAGGTAATTACCCACTGATAGGGAGATGAACTTCTCTCCACCCCTGAGGACTGAGGCAAATGCACTAAAGCCATACTTCTTTCCACCTCTGAACGCCTGTTGATATGTAGATGTACTAAAGCCAGGTGAGATATTCTGGAAATATTACAATTTTTCCCACATTCATATTTGAAATGTTCAGAAATTGCTTAATATTCTGGACTATAGATCATGGCTAACACCATGGATATATATGGTGCAGGGTCATCTGCTGGCCCCACCTGCCATCACAGTAGTCTCTCCCCAACACCCCTCTTGAGGAAGCTCAGATAAAAATTTAACATTTAGTTCATGGGTTGGAAATCTCAGAGAAGATAAAAATAAATACATTGGATTGAATGAAAATGAATATATAACATGTCAATATGGAGAAGATGCAGCTGAAGCAATTAAAAGGGAAATTTATAGCACGATTTAAATCCTTATACTGGAAAACAGAAAAATATCAAATCAATAATCTAAGTTCCTATGCGTCCTAGTCCATTTGGGCCCAAGACTGGGGGGTTTGTGAACAGCGGGAATCTTACTTCTCACAGCACTGGAGGCTGGGTGTCCCCGATCAAGGCGCCAGCATGGTTGAGTGAGGGCCCTCTTCGTCCTGCACTGCCAATGCCTTCTCTCTGGGTCCCGAGGTGGACGAATCGAGGGAGCTTTCAGGCTCCTAAGGGCACTAATCTCATTCCTGAAGGCTCTGTCCTCATGTCCTGAGCACCTACCAGAGGCCCCGCCTCCAAATAGCATCACCTTTGCAGTATGATTTCAACGTAACTCATTTTGGTGGGGATACGAACATTCAGACCATAGTTCTAACTCAAGAAACTAGGAAAGGACAGCAAAATACGGTTGACCTTTAACAGCGCAGGGGTTGGGGTGCTGACCCCTGATGCAGTAAAAAAATCCATGTATAACTTTAGACTCCCCAAAACCTTAATTACTAATAGTCAGCTGTTGACTGGAAGCCTTACTGATAACAAATAGTTGATTAACACATGTTTTATATGTTATATATGTGCTATATACCATATTCACAATAAGGTAGAGAAAATAAACATTCTTCAAATTGTAACAAAGCTACAAAAATTTTTACAGTATGTTGAGAAAAATATGCGTGTAAGTGGCCCCACGCAGTTCAGATCTTGTTGTTCAAGGTCACCTGTAAACCCAAAGTGTCCAGAGGAAAGAAGATCACGATGCTAAGAGCAGAAATCCCTGAGTTGGAAACAGAAGAGGCAGAGAAAAATCTGCGAAACAAAAAGACGATTCTCAGAAACAATCAATAAAATGGCTAAATCTCTAGCAAGACCACCCAAAAGAGGAAGAGAGATCAGGATCCTGTGACCATTAAAAGAATGACAAGGGAATAGTGTGAACAACTTTACACTCATGTATTTGACAACTTCAAAGAGGTAAACCAGTTGCTCTAAAACGACAAACAACCAAATTCAACTAAGGTGAAATACGTAATATGAATAGTTCTGTAGCCACTAAAGAAACTGGATTTGTAATTTAGAAGTTCCTGAAAAGGAGATCTCCAGGCCCAGATAGTTTCATTGGAGAATTCTACCA